TGTGAAGCAGAGCAGCCCTCTCACCTAAGCCAGCGGACGACATTCCTAGTTCAACACACACGGACACAGGCCTGCCACCCTACGTGGGAATGCAGAACAGCATGGGGTGGATGGACGGTCCGCAGCCCAGGCAAATGAGAAGCCATAAAATCTGTATTCGCACCTTGTCTTTTAAGCACAGTCTTTGGTGAGGTTTTACTAGTGATCTGTACTGGTCTTTCATTTTTATTTTTTTTCTTCCCATTTGAACGCCTCATCAACCAACTAGAATTCAAAGAGAATCTCTAACCAGGACCAGCAATGTGTCCATGGGGGGTGACCCCAAGAGTCCCCTCTTATCTCAGGTTGACGGCATTCACGAGAACTCCTAGTGCGGCTATTAGAATCCACCCCACCCCCCATCACTGTAATAAAGCCATCATGTCCAAGCGCTCTCAGACTTCCAGTGATAGAGCTGGCAGGTCTGTGTACAAGGACGGCACTGTGACGACAGAGCTGCGGGGAGGCCACCCCCAAAAACAAGGACCCCAGTTTCATCAGCACAGAGGCGGGTAGTCTGCACTCACCATTCAAACACACCTGGGGGTGCCCAGGAAGCACGTGTCGGAGTGCAGTTTAACAGCGATGCAGGCCCTTCCTGGACTCTGGAATCCACGCCTTGTGTGGAGTGCGGCTTCATGCCCCTACACCTTTGCCCAGGCTGTTCCTGCCCCGGGCAAACCTCTTCTTCCCAGGCCACACCCATCTGGGAAACACCTGGTCCCTCTCCAAGACTTAGCACAAGGGTCCCCTCGGTGAGGCTCCCCCACAAGGAGACACGCCCTCCTCCTCCGCGGGGAGGCTCTGAACCTCGAACAAAGTGAAGGAAGGAAGGCAGGTAAAGCATACGACGCACAGTAGCTGCTCAATGAACAGGAGCCGCTGGAACCCCCTGCAATTATTTATCTGCCTCCGTATTCATCTGCACCCTGTTCACAACTGTAGCCTGGTGCCCGATGCGGCGCCCAGCGCAGGCGGGTAAGTACGTGTCAGGGGAAAGACCGAAATCCCCAAACACTCCCCCGCAGCCCAAGGGGACGGTTTCCCGGCCCCAAAACACACCTCTCGTGTCGCTCACTTCCACACCTTTGCACGTGCTGCCCCTCTTCCCGAACACCCCCTCCTCTTCCTCCCATCTAACCAGACCCCCCCAGGCCACCTGCAGGCCCCTGAGGACTGAGTGCAAGAATCTCCAGGCCCCTCCCTCAGGGCCTGGTGCACAGTGGGCCCCACTGAATAAGCTCATCACTTAATGAGCCAGCAATTGCCCACTTTGGGGTTCGGAGGATTTGAAAGCATATTCTCGAGGTTGCCAGAGGCCCACCTGCCAGCCCCATCTCAGGGAACCCCCGCAGCTGGTGCCTTCAGGGCCACAAGAGGGGCCTCTGGGGGACTGTGGCCCAGGGTCGTAACCCCAACTGAGCCGATGTGCTTGGCGATCTCTGCGTGGGTGCAAACAGAAGCCTCACTTAATGAGAAGGAGGGTGCACCCCGCCGTGGATGGGGTAGGGAGGAGGACAGCACGGGACTCAAATCTGCCACACGAAACCGAGGACCTAAGGGGGCCCATTAAAGGAACAGGGGAGGCGGAGACCAGGGAGCCAGAAAGGCGGAATGGCGGTCGCAGCTCTGCCTCCAGCCGCTGCAGGGCCCTGGGCCAGAGACCCCCCCTCCCCAGGCCTCAGTTTCCTCAAGTGCACAAAGCTCCCGTCCCATCAATCGCCCTTCAAGAGAACACAGGAAAGAAACGCTGACAGCAAACAATAATTAACGACACGATAATAGCAATTAGTAATTACTGGGCAGCTACCCTCTGCCACTTTGGCTGCATCCCCGGCCTACAGAGAAGTGGGAGGAGGTTCAGCAGAAGGTCAGGAGTATGGACTCCACGCTCCAACCACGGGAGAGGTGCTTACTGGCTCTGAGCCTCAGTTTCCCCGTCTATAAAATGGGGGTGGTACTAGTACCTACACCACACAGTACACACTGGCAGCACTAGGTGTCACCATTGTTATGAACCCCCTCTTTACGGAGGAGGAAAGCAGAGGTGCTAAGCAGCAAACCGCTTGCTCACCTCTGAGCAGTGACCGGGCCAGACCTCAGACCTCACACTCTAGGTCTGCCCAGCCTGCGGTTCAGCCAGGGGTGGGCGTGGCTGTGCAAATCGGCTCTGGCGGGTACCAGGCTCCCCTCAGTGGGTGGCCAGGGCCGAACGGCTAGCAGCCAGCCCTGGGCGCGACTGTATCACGTTCTCGGCCACCCAGCCCAGGCTGTCTTGTTTCCTCGTGGGCTAACGCACACCGAGTGCTGCGGGCTCGAGGGAAGAGGGGGCTGCCAGGGCTCGGGGACAGGCCAAAGCACGACCCCCTGGCAGGGAGGACCTGGGTCCAAGGCTGAAAGTGAGACAGGCTCGGTTTCCATTCCAGCTCCCCACTTGCTGACTGTGTGGCCTTGGACAAGTAGCTTTACCTCTCTGAGCCTCAGCTCCCTCCTCTGCAAATATAGGGGTTCATACGCCCTAACATGGGGGAGGAACACGGACTGAAAAGGTCTGAGGCACAGGCTTGGAAACACGGGGACAAGCCTGAGCCTGTACTGGACACCGACAGCACAGAATCACTCACCAAAACCGTGTGGGACCAACACCAGTGAAGCCCCTCAAATGCCTTGCAAAGCACAGAACGCAGGACTGACCAACTTCCTGAGGAGGAGGGTCACCCAGCGGGGCCGGGGGCTCAGGACCCCAGTCCCGACCTGGAGGTGCATCCTCACTCACTTAGTCAGGCCTGTTCTCTGGGCCTCAGTTTCCCCATTTGTAATGAGAGAGCTGAAAGGTGACAAGAAAGGGAGAGGGGAGGAAGAGGAAGAATGAGGAGGAAGGCCAAGGGAGGTAGAAGACAAGATAAGGTGAAAAGGAAGGAGATTGGGAGAAAGGAGAAAAAGTGACCGTGGACCATTCTGAGTGCTGAGTGATCTCACTAACTGCTCACAAAAATACTCCTGAGGCCAGACAAGACCATCCCTGTTTTAGAGAAGGATCACCGAGGTTCAAGGAGGTCCATCGAGTCACCTGCCCAAGATCACACAGTGGCAGAACAGGAACATGAACCCACTTCTTTCAGCCTCCAGAGCCCAATGCCAAGGTCCACGAGTCAGGTTTTGAAGGCATCAGAAAGTGAGCTGAAGACCACCACCTCCTGGTGGGCACTCCCCAGAAATGCAGGCATGAGTTCCGAAAGCCCAGAAATGAGTGAGGTCTTCCCCCAACAGCTCTGTGGGGTTCCGGCTCCTCCCCCATCCACCTCTGGACGAGAGGAAATCAAGCTGGCAGCAAGTGGGCAGGGGCCTCAGGGCCTGCAGGAGGAAGCCAAGGCCAGCCACAAGAGGACTCGGAGGACAAAGGCTCCTCAATGACAGCGAGTGGAAGAGGAGGAGCCAGACAACCGGGGAGGATGCCAGCCAGCAGAGGCTATAAAAGGCCAGTTTTAAATGCTTTTCTCTCTTTAACCCTTGTCTTCACACACACACACACACACACACACACACACACACACACACACACACGCAGAAGTTCAAGCACAATCAGATAAACAGAGTTGGTGCCACCAGAGAGTGAATGGAGGAAAGGGTAAGAGAGAAAGCGGTGGAAGGGAGTATTTAAAGAAGAAGAGCAGGCAGTTCTCAAATGCACGCAGGCCTGGGGCTGAGGTCTGGGGGCTTGGGGAGACTTTCTGGGGCTGCGCTGCAGGCGTCTCCCAGGGGGTCTGGGTGCTCTGGGCCTGCCGCCCCGCTCCCTGTCAGGCTTTCGGACTCTGGGGTGGCCATTATCCCAGCAGGTCCCTGCCAGGGTGTCCTCCTCACCCTGGTTTTCGGAGGAGGGCACCAAGGTCCAGGGAAGTGAGGTTTCTTGCCCGTGGCTGTGTAAGCTGGAAGGCACAGACCCAGAATTCAGGTGCGGGAGGACCCCCGTCTCCGAGTGTCACCGAAACGCAGGAAGCTGTGTGACCAAGGAGGACCTGTGAGCAGAACTAGAGCTGCCTCACTTAAAGAAGGTCTCTCTTAGAGGCCCCCCTGTGGGACCCAGCCCGAAGGGACGTCGTGAGCAAGCACAGAACTCAGAAGGTCTCTAAGTATCATGGAACGAAAGTCCAAGAAAAAACAGAAAAGAAAAAAAAAGTAAATCACCGGAAGCGGCGAGGCCCTGGTACCCATCTGGGGACGGCTGCGGCACTGACCCCCCTTTTCACAAGCGGGAAACAGGCTGAGAGAGGACGTGCTGGCCCCAGAAGACACAGAAACAATAATCGACATAGTAAGAAAAACACTCACCAAAGTGTTTGCCGTGAATCGGGGCCACACTAACCGCTTCCCACGTCATCCTCTCCAACCCCCGCATTAGCCCTGTGTTGTAGATACTATTATTATCCCCACTTCACAAATGAGGAAACTGAGGCAGAGGCCCATCTGCACACAGAGCTAGGATTTGAAGCCCAGTGACCTGGCTCCAGAAGCGGCCTAACAGTGCGGCTATCGGTGTGCTGGGCCCGGCTCATGCGCTCACTCCACCTTCCCAGTGGCGCGAAAGAGTTAGGAATCGCGAACGTGTTTTCCAGGTGACGGACAGACTACAGAAAAATTAAGTAAACTGCTCCAATAGGCTGCGAAGAGGTAGGAGTGGGATTTGAACCCAGGACTTTCAGGTCACATGTTCTCTTCAAGGCTCCGTGCTGGGCAGATGGGGTCACCTCTCTGCATTGGACCGGAAACCGGAGAGGAAGGAAGGCTTTCTCAGCGCACCCACCAGAGTCCCCCCACGGCATCAGACTCCCAGACAGGCGCCCGCCCCCCTCGACCCCCACAGGCCCCTGGCCAGCCGGGCTCTCCACACAGCCACGTGCCCACTGGTGTCCGACGACCAACCCGCCTGCACACGGCGCTCCGGCCACGCCAGTGCCACTCACCACGAAGGCCCCGCTCCTCTTGTCCTTGCAGAAGCTGTGGCTCCTTCGGGGGCCCAAGGCCGCAGGGGGCACCTGCCGGTGCGGCTGCTCACTGTCCTGGGAGACATCCTCCCTCCCCGGGTCTCGCGACGGCACCTGAGACACAGAACACAAGAAGAGGGCTTGCCTGGGGCTCCGCCACAGACGGGGGTACGTCGCACCGTGAGGACCCATTCTGCATGGGAAAGGGCAAAGCAGAAGAGGAAAGCTCCGGAACCCCACACCCCCACTGCCACCCCGCAGCCTCAAGGGTGAGAGGTGGTATGTCGGAGCAGCCATTTAATAACTCTGAGAGCTCAGGTGAGCGTCTTCTCCTCTCTGATCCTTCGGCCATGTGGGAAAAGACCAATACCAACAGCCCTCTGCTTCTAGGTTCTTGGGACGACCCAGCAGGGAACAGCACACAGAAAGTGCATGACACAGTGCGGCCACCAGAGGGCGGGTGCGCACGGGTCTCCGGCACCTGGCTTTTCTCTCACTGCTCTCCCCCACAGGCCTGTCAGTGGGGGGCCCTCCATCAACGTTATCCAGCCTCACTACTGCCACTGATGACTTTTGCTGACCTCATTTTAGATACCTCTCCACGCACCCCAGCACAAATGCACACACGCACAGACAGAAACGGTGTAGGGACAGGACTAGAGACGGAACACTGAACGCGGCCGTTTTTTCTGCTCAGCTATGTACAGGGGACACCTGCACAGGCCAGGAAACACAAGACCCCAGAATGCGGAGTCTGCCTGTCTCACACCCTCCCCACTCAGACAAGGAAGGACCAGAGAGGAAAGGCACCTGCTCGAGGACACACAGCATCAGTGAAGAGCAAGGCTGGGCTCCCTGTCCCTCACCTCAGTCGCCTTCTTTGCTGCCTTATGAGGCTCTCAGGGTCCCTCCTACCTCCCTGGCTGGTCCTCCTCAGGCCCCCACCCCCACCACATCTCCGAGGCAGGTCTAAAGGCAGGTAGGTGCGTCCCAAGCCAGCCACTGAGCCTTTTCCTGCCACAGCACTGCCTTGGGGATCGCCCATAATGCCCCGGGGCTCTAAGTAAACCCACGGACAACCCAGTGCTGTCTCTCTCTGCCGGGACTGCAGACTTGCAGGCCCCACTGCCCACTCGAGGTCACTGCTCACTGCTCAGGCTCATCTCAGACTTCACAGGTCCACAGCAGGCCACTCAACTCCTCTCCTCCACGGCTGTCCCTCCCCCACCACTGCCCATCCCGCATCCGGGCGGCCCAGGCCCTCGGGCCGCCTGCTATCTGCCTCCTCTGTCCACCCGGTCAACTGAGACTTTGCCTGCAAACACACTGCGGATCTCACATGGCATACCAAAAACTCAACACAGATCTGAGACTAAGCACCAGAGCTGAGACTGGAAAGCACTCAGAAGAAAATGTGGCATTAACTTTCCCAACCTCGGAGCAGGCAGGGGTTTCTGGGACACTCAAAGCAAAGGCAACAAACTAGGAACAAACTGCCCTTCATTCAAGTGAGAAACATTTGTTCCTCGAAGGGTGGCGTGAAGAAAGTGAAAACACAACCCAAATGGGAGCAAATTCCTACAAATCATAAAACCCTATGTCTGATTAGAAACTTGTATCCAGCATATGTAAGGGATAATTACAACTCAGTAACAAAAAAAAACCACCCAATTTTTTTTTAATGGGAAAAAGATCGAATAGTTATTACTTCAAAGACATGCGAAGGACTAACAAGTTCAGACAAAGATGCTCAACAGGAAATAAATATCAAATCCGTAGGGAGACACTGCTTCACTGAAACCCACAAAGGCAGCTGGAATCAGAAACACAGATGCGGCAGCCGGATGGGCTGGAGGGCGGTCGGGATGGAGGGTGGCCCGCGGGGACGGGAAGTGGTGGGGCTGGTTGGACCGCCGCCTGGTGGCTCCTGTGGGTGACACCCACAGTGACCGTATGACCCGGGATGTCACTCCTCAGCGTGTGCCCACTCCAACACTTCACACAGACGTCCACAGCAGCATTATTCACAACAGCCAGAGCTGAAACAACACAGCTCTGGCCAGTGGCTCCGTCAGTTACAGTGTTGTCTCTCGGGTTTAATCCCCAGTCAGGGCGCATATAAGGATCAACCAATAAATGCACAAACTGATATTTCTCTCTCAGTCTCTCTCTCTCTCTCATCAATACATAAAGTAAAAGTAACAACCTAAACGCCCATTCACTGATGAAAGGATACATGAATAAAATGCGGTCTATCCGTGTAACAGAGTATCACTCAGCCATGAAAAGGAACGCAGCCCTGACACTCACCACAGCACGGATGCACCGTGGGAACGGTATCCTACCAGGGGCGTCCAACTTTTTGGCGTCTCTGGGCCACACTGGAAGAAGACTTGTCTTAGGTGACATATTAAATGCTCTGTGACACGTGATCACAAGAACATCTATCTCATGATGTTTGAAGTAAATGCACGATTTTGTATCAGGCCACATTCACAGCCGTCCTGGGCTGCACGTGGCCCTCGGGCCGCAACACCCCTACGAGCCAGTCGTGAGCACCACTGTTGCGTGACCCCACTTCTCCGGAAGGTCCAGAACAGGCAGCTCTACACGCACAGAGAGCAGACCGATGGCTGCCCAGGACTGGAGGGTACCGGGGGAGCTGGGAGAGACTGGGTGCAGGGTTTTCTGGGGGCTGGGGTGTATTCAGAGTTCTGCCACCACCATCATGCTTGGTTTCAGGGTATCTTTACCACTCCCCAAGAAAACCCTGCGTGTGACTAGACCAGGGTCCCTCCGCCTTGGGGCTGCCCACAGTGGGACAGGGTGACCATCTTCGGGTGAGGGCAGCCTGGCACGCGGCAGGGGGCTGAGCAGCGTCCCCGGCCCCCAGCCGCTGACAGCCGGGAGCCCACTCTCCTCAGTCACATGACAGAAAAATGGGCCCAGGGGGCAAACTGCACTGACTGAGAACCATTAAGGGCCTTGGGGGAGCAGGGCGCCCCAGGTCGAGGCCCGACTCATTCTTTGGAGGAGGTTTCCTTCCTAAACCATATGTTTCTACAACACTCCCACTTGTACACAAGCACTCACAACCTTTTGCAATAGGGAAATATAATAATTACAACAAAACATGTATGATTGAGAAGCAAATCAGCAGTGCAGGCGAGTCCCAAAGGACTTCGGGCCCAAAGGCCCGCCGCGGGGACTGGACAAGGGAAGGGGTCCCGGGGGGACACGATAAAATAGTGTATAAAATACGCTCTTCTAAGGTTTCAGTTTTCAACAACTGCTATTTTGCACTTATGCCCTGCTTTATTGATTTTTATTTCTTAAAGATGAAGAACAAAACGTCTCTGGACAGGAGAGAAGAGAAGGCAGGAGCCGGCCCAAGGCCTCCCAGTCCTTGGTGAGGGAATGGATCCCTTGGCGGCGGCACTGCGGGGCCGCACACCCGGGCAGGCGTCCAGGGCCAAGCTGGGCCCCCCCCCCCCCAGCGCTGCGCTCCTCCACGGCCAGCAGGGCCCTGGGGCGGCTGGCACGCAGCCTCGGTGTCACATTTCCATGGTCTCGTCCCTCTCCCTGCGTTCCCACAACGGCGGCCTGGAGGTGGCGGCAGGTGAGCCCCCCTCGAGAGCACAGGTGCAGAAGCCAGGGGCAGGCCCTGAGCTCATGCCCACTGGGTGCCCGGCGCATGCTGGGCGCTTTATCTCCTTTCAGCCTGGGAATGGCGCTAACCCCGGTGGGAGATGGAGGCCCAGGGAGGCCAAGTCAGTGCTCGACACAGACCCGCGTCTGGATGCGGTACCTGGACGTGGGTTCAAAGCCAGACCCCACCACTCGCCCACCCCTGACCTTGGGCAAACCCTCATCCCCCGACCTCTACTGATGTAATCCTTCGCTTCCACAACACCCCTGTCTGAAGCGATCAATCCATGCTGCTCCCCGGGCGTCTCCAGCAAGAATGAAGGGGGGTGTCCAGAGTGGTACCTCCACCCCCTGCCTGCCCTTCCCTGCCGTACCCCGCCACCCCCTCCACCAGATCCTCTGGGTTCACCTCCTGAAACCACACAGAGGGACGGCCAGGGGGCTCCGAAAGACGGCTCATCCACACATTCAACCACCATTTCTTGAGAGTTCACAAAATGCCAAGCAGGACGCTGAAGACGGAGATACAACAATGCACATGCTACCAACACACTGGAATACAGCAGGCGCTCGATAAATGCCATCTACTATCATTCTAGGCCAGAGGTTTCAAACTCGCGGCTACAGGGAGCCAGCAGACACATTTTTTCTTAGACTTAACAGCATTTTTAATAAGCTGTCCTCATTTCACAATGAAAAATTACATACAAAAACCTGTTTTCTTTTTCAGATTCTCTTAATAAATCGGATCTGCCCTCTCATCCCCCCACTCGCACTGGTCAGAACCGGCAGGAACACCGCAGCAACTGCCCCTCGAGATAGGGCCCGAGCTCTCCATCTGCCCCAGTCCTCACCACTCCCTACTGTCTCACACCCAGCCTGACTCCACTCATTTACATACCCGCCTGGCCCGCGCGAGCTCTGAGCTTGACACCGGTGGCCTGTGTTTAACCAGCGTTTGACAACACGGGAACCACCTCTGTACTCACCTTGCGACCGTCTCGCGTCCCGGAGTCCTGCCGACGGGGTGCTGCTGGGGCCTCCTTGGCCTCCGAGCTCTCCCCAGGGAGGCTGCGCCTTGCCTTGTGTTCTCGCCTCCTCTCTCTGGCTTCCTGCATGATGGACAGGCCCTCTCGGATTCTGGCAGGAGGGCCCTTCTCTGAATAGGCCCTTTTGACATCCAGCGGTGACCTGCCACGGTGCTGTGGGTGGTCACCCCACTGGGCCGCAAGGCCGTCCTCTCCCCTCCAACTGGACTGCCTCGGGGTCCCTTTCTTGTGGTCGGCTGGGGAGGGTCTGGGCAACACACTGGCTCCCGCGCCTGACTCCTCCCGGGCGGCACTGGGGTGTTTATTAGCAAAGGTCTTCGTTTCATCCTCAGAGATTCCTGAGACCTTCCTGGGAGCCCCGGGGCCAGCGGAGGCCCCTGGCTGCTTTTCAGGAGCTGGCTGCGGCAGAGCCCACAGAGGAGAGCTGAGTTTGGGGCTCGTGGCCGCCCCCGGGGTCTCTGCAGGCTGCTTGCCGGAGCTGGGACTAGAACTGTGGTTTGTCTCAGCAAGGCTGGCTCGTTTCCGAGGACCCTCGGCTTCCAGCCCTTCCTTCAGGCTCCTCCTCCTCCGTTCAGCCCCGCCCTGCTGGCCTGGCCTCTCCTGAGACCGGCCACTGGGCTCCGTGGGCGGGCCCGGCACCTGCTCCTGAGCCTCCTGCTTCTTGTACTCGGCCATCAGGGCATCGATGTCAAGAACGCTGGATCGGTAGCCGTCTTTGACTTTACCTGGGAATGTCTCGCTGACCACCCCAGTCCTCCTTCTGACCAGGAGGTCGCTGGCTTTCAGGCGACTTGTGGAAGCTGGGGTCGTCTGGGGAGCACGGCTGGGGGACGTCTTGTTCCCACTGTCCCTCCAATCGCTCTGGAAACCAGGGCTGTCCTCTGGTTGCCGCCGATGAACACCAACACAAGTGTCGGTGTCAGTGATCCTCTCGGTACAAAGACCCATAATCCTGTCCCCAAGAGGCGGTGAGGCGTCGGCCAGCTTTCGGGTTTTTGAAACGCTTGCATTGTCATGCTCTCTGCCCTGAGCCCAGTTTTTACTGCCCACGGTCTCCAGCGGCTCTTCAGGGTTGAGAGAAGCCATGGTAGAAGGTAAAGGATGAGGAGATGGAGGCGGAGCTATTTTTCTAGAATGTTCTGTCAGGTGTTCCAGCCCTGACTTGACAATGCTCTTTGCTTTTTGAGTATCAGGAATATGATATGTCACTGCAAAAAATGTCACCTTGGGTTCTACAGATGACCCTGGCTTCGCTGCAGGAGGAGCCGGGTCCCGTGAAACTCCTGGGTCCTTGTCCTGGGCCTCCACCCTGTTATGGGAGGGTTGAGGCTTCCTTAAGGCACCTGCGGTGGAGCTCGGATGGTCCGCGCCTCTCTGCTCCACCTTTGAAGAGTGTTCTGGGGCCAGGAAGCTGAACTCGTCGAACTTCACATCGTGGGGTAAAGTCCGCCGCCTCCACCTCTCAAATCTCTGGTCCGAGGGGCTCACCCTCCGCATCCTAACTTCAGGCTCCCGGGCCTGGGCTGGCTTCGGTTCGCCCCCACCGGCAGCCACGACCAGGGGCCCTTTCCGCGCCGGCCCTTGGAGACGTGGCCGAGCGGGGGAGCCGGAGGGCTCCTCCTCAGCCCTGAAAGGAGGGTCCAGGGGGCAGCCCCACAGCAAACCCCTCTCTCCTGCTGAAACACAGACGCCCGGCTTGCTCCCGGCCCCTTCAGGCCCCTGGTGCCGGGGCTCCCTGGTGGCGGCCTGGGTGGCCCTGACAGAGGCAGCCTCGCCGCCGCAGGGCCTGGCCGAGCGCTCACCGGTGAGGGCAGGACTCACTTCCGAGCCTTTCTCGTCACTGACCACCACCGTGGCTTTATGCCAGTTCCCGGCCGCCCCGTCTTTCCACTTGGGTGACAGGCCCCTGAATACGTCCTTTGGCTCTCGGGAGTCGGGGTGGAGCCCGCTGACCTCCTGTGTCCCTCGGGCTTCCCAGATCAAACTGGCCCTTTGGACGGACCCCACCTGACTGTCCAGCCTGCACTCTGCGGGGGCAGGGGTGCCCTCAGGGGTCAGCTGCCCCCCCTTCAGCGAGGGCCGGGCCCTGCTGCTCCGGAGCGTCACAGCCTTCTCCTCGGGCGCAGTGGGGACGGCCTCACTGTGCGCGCGCTCCCCCACTGTGTGCATGATGTCATACTTGGGCTCGACCCTCTGTGACCTGGGAGGGCTTTCCAAGCACAGGAGGAAGGGGTTGTTGCTACGTTTCTCGCCCGGGGGGCACTTTTCGGGGAGAGGCGTGTGATACTGTTTGGGGTCACCATTCAAGAGAGGAGTCCGTCCCAAATTTTCCGTGTCAGGATTCCCAAACCGCCTGCAGTTCTCTCTCTGGAGGACGGCCTTTTCCGGAGGGTCCTTCCCCAGCCAGGAGCTTCTCTCGGGCCTGGGTCTGGGCTCAGGGACATGGGTCACAGTGCCAGGGGGTGTCGCTGAGGGACAGCATACCGACTGGTCGGCCACAGTGTGTCTCTCCACGTGATGCTCAAACACCGTGGCCCTCACGGTCTGGAAGCTCCCGTCGTCTTCGGGAGCACTGTCCGGGGAGCTCAGGGCCCCCGCCGTGCTCCCCCCGCAGCAGCTGTTGGGGGCTGCGGGGCAACTGTCTTTCCTCGGTGTCTGCCTGGACTTCTCCCGGAGCGTCCCCAGCTGCCAGGGGCTTCTGGGAGCAGAGGCCCCATCCAAAGCAGGCCCTTCCTTTGACTGTAAAAAAGAAAAAAGAAGAAACAATCCAACTCAGGTTAAAGAATATGAAAGGGGAAGGTAGAGGTAAGGTGACTGAAATGGCGGCTTTTAAAAGTAAATTCCAACGGTGACCACGGCTGGGTAGCTCGGTTAGTTTGAGTATCGTCCTGAGATACACCAGGGTTGCAGGTTCAATCCCCACTCTGGACACACAAGATTCAACCAATGAATGAGTAAGTGGGCAGAAAAACTATTCAATGTCTCTCTCTCTCTCTCTCTCTCACTCTCCCCCCTTCTTCTCTAAATCCAATAAAAACATCCTTGGGCGACTAAAACATTGAAGATGGGCCCCGTCTAGAGCAGGCAGGGCTCTGGGGAAACAGGTGCTCCGGTGTCGCTGGAGAGAGCGTCAACGGGCACGACCCTGGGGCACCTCGGCGCGTCTACCACGATTTTTAAATTCTCATTTCCTTCAGTCCGGCCAATCGTCTCGGGATTCCTTCTTTGCTCACGAGCACAAGTCCACGTGAGCGAGAGAGTGTGACCGCTCCGGTGGCGGGAGCGGGCGAACGTGGGCAACATCAGCGCCCCCTGAAGGGCAGCGGTGAAGGGAGTTTTCACACAGCCGAACGGGGGTGGGGGGGGCACCACTCGGACGCCTGGATCCTCAGAACAGGGCGGGTCATCTAAGACGTCACACCATGACATCTAAGAACACACACACATTGTGCAGAGGGGAGAAGAACGGGGCTGCAGAACAGCACGTTTATAAGATCGTATGTTTAAAAACTGTGCTACACTGGCTGGTGTAGCTCAGTGGATTGAGCGCGGGCCTGTGAACCAGGGGATCGCAGTTCGATTCCCAGCCAGGGCACATGCCTGGGTTGCAGGCCAGTTCCCGGCAGGAGACACACGAGAGGCAGCCATACATTGATATTTCTCTCCCTCTCTCCTTCCCTATCCATCTAAAGATAAATAAAAAAATCTTTTAAATAAATAAAACAAAATAAAACCTGTGCCTGTGTAGTTCATACACACAGGCAGCTGCCCAGTGGAGAAAAGACATAAATCGAACAACGAGTAGCAGAAAGGAATAAGGATGAAAACAATTATCTTTTAATCGGACACACTTCGGTTCTGTTCGACTGTTATAACACGCATGTATTCCTCAGTAGTTTAAATTTTTTTTTCTGTTGGAAATATGTCTACGTCAACAAGTGAAACAAAGAATTAACCACAGGACACCAATCCCATTCTCGGATATACACCCCGAAGAACTAAACGCAGGCGCTCGGACAACAACTTGTGCCAAAAGGCACAGCAGCGTAAGTCACTGCAGCCAAAAGGCGGAAGCAGCCCAGATGTCCGCCAGCAGATGAATGAATGAACAAACGTGCTCCGTGCGTGCGGTGCAGCGTCGTTCGGCCAGGAAAAGGGGCAGAGTCCCAATGCACATCACAGCGTGGATGAGTCTTGAGAGCATCACGCGAAGTGAAAGAAGCCACACACGACAGCCGTGGGTTGTGTGACCGTTTCTCTGGGGTACCTGGAGCAGACGAGTGCATGGGGACCGCATATTCCTGGTTGCCAGGGGCCAGAGTTGCAGGGTGGGAAGCGACTGGGTACGAGGTTTCCATTTGGGGTGCTGGAAAATCCTGAACTAGCTAGTGGGGAGGGTGGATGGCACCACACAGACGATATACTCAATGCCACTGAACCACAAGGGACCCCAAACTGGAAACAACCCAAAGGTCCATCAAAGCACAAACGGAGAAACTGTAGCCAACCCGTAAAACGCAGCACTGCTCAGCAATGAAGATAAATGAATTATGGTTTTTAAAATATTTTATTTACTTATTTTCAGGGAGAGGGTAGAGTAGGGAGAGTAATGAATTTCAAAGTAATTATTCTAAGTGAAAGAAGGAAGACCGAGAAAAGGGCACTGGTTCCATTTATAAAAAAAATCTAGAACACACAAACTAGCCTGACAGAAAGCAGAGCAGCGGTTGCTGAGGAGGAGAAGGGAAGGACTGTGAAGAGGAAACGCCCGGGTCTGGGGGTGTTTGCTCTCGCGATGACAGTTTTGCAGGTGAGCCCGCGTGCATGTCGGGCTGGCCGGCTTGTGCCCTTGAAAGGTGTGCAGTTCGCTGTATGTCGGTTACACCTCGACAAAGCTGCTTTTTAAAAAACTGCAACGATGAACCACAAACCAGTCACACCTAGGAGTTATTTACCAGCTTTTACTTACGAAAGAAACCAAATAAAGATACTTTCTGAGCAATTTAGTTGCTGGTAATGTCCTTCCTTCTGCTGACAGGTGAAAGCCAGGGATGAAAATGAAGCAGGGACCACAATTAGGGAAATTGAGGGGGGGTTCTACTAACATTTAAATTTTTTTATTTATTAATTTTAGAGAGTGAAAGGAGAGGGGGAAAGAGAGAGAAACACTGATTTGCTATTCCACTTATTTGTATTCACTGATTCTTGTATGTGCCCTGACTGAGGATCGAACCCTGACCTTGGAGTATTGGGATGATGCTCTAACCAACTGAGCTACCCAGCCAGGGCATATTAACATGTTTTATTAACCTTTATTAAATTCTTAGTAAAGCAGACATTCTTGCATAGGAAAGCCAAGTCCCTTTTCCTCCTTGCACAGAGAAAATAAATACTCGACAACTGTATTTGTAAAATGCACTGAACACCACAGAACAGGGAATAAGACCCATCACGGCGGAAGGGATTTGCAAAGTCCCAGCATTAAAGGAATAAATGTTTTACTGTTTGTAAGGGGCTGCCGATTCTTCCCGGGCCTCTTAGATCATAAAAGCTCTTCCAGTGAGCCTAAGTACCCACGGCCAAACACGATGTCTCCTTACCTTCTTTCTCGGTTCCTTAGCAAGCTCGTCACTCAGCTCCGCACATCTCTCATACTTGACTTCGTTGCTTGAAGCCGAACTTGAAAACCTGGCAGAGATCCAAGTCACTTGGCTGGGCCGGCAGCTGTGACTCCCTCCACCCCGCATCCCAGAACCAGCTCTGGGCCCCGGGGGTGAAATCAGCATGGAGACCCTCAGAGTGACAGTGCCTGAGGGGCTCTGAGAACAGACCTTTCCATTCTGGGCGCCAAACCCACAGAGAAGGGCCCGCGGGGACAGCCTACCTTAAACACAGCATTGTGGGGAGGCGGGAGCCCCGGCTTGGGGAAGAGACCTGGGTGCCAGTGCCGGCTCTACCAACTTCCCACCCTGGGAGCTGGGGCCAGGCTGGTGACCTCGCCTGGGCCTCTGTCTCTTGATCTATAAAATGGGGTTAATTAACGCCTCCCTATCGCCTTTGGTAGGGCAGGGAAGAGGCTGCTCAAAGCCCTAATAGCTACATGAGGGCGTTTAGGGAAGACTGCAGATGCCCCAGGAGGGGTAATTAATGGCTGTTGTTAGCAACAGCAGCCCCACGGCAGACCAGCCACGGGGCTCACTCGGGGGCAGTGGGCCGTCCTGGAATGTGTGGGGGTACAGCCCTGTCTCTGCCTCTCCGGGTGACTTTGACCAAGTCATTGTCCCTCTCTGGGCCTGTTTTCCCACTTGGGGAGGAGGAGGAAGGCGGAGTTCTGAGCTAGAATTTTTCCATGTCTGAAAAGCTCATTGGAGTGGATACCTGAAGATTCATACAGGGCTGGGGGCCACACAGAGTGAAAAAGACAGAGAAATCAAACCTCTGAACCTCGACTCACACTTGGAGCCTCAGTTTACCTACCTGTCCAATGGGAATAACCCAAGGCCCTGCAATGAGAGAAGATGTGTGGGGTCCCTGACCTGGGCGCCCCGTTCTCTGTTACCTGAACTCAGGTGTTCTCAGGCTAGCACAGGAGAATCACCTGGGAAGTTTTTAACAACAAACAAGACAGGAGCCCCTCTCCCCAGACCAACTGAATCAGACTCTCCGGATTTTTTTTCCAGGTGATTCTAAATGCTGAGAGCCAATGGTCTAATTCTGGCCCAGCTGGCTGCCCTGGTTCCCAGGCCGGGCAGGGCAGCCTACCCGGAGGTCCTGCCCCCTGGAAGCTCCATCCCTGACAAAGTATGTGAGTGGTATGCATGTCATTATGGAGCCTGTGGACACGCCCAGGGGCATCTCCCTGTTGTAATCCAACAGCCACTTGTGGGAAAACAAAGAAACGAGAGGCGTCAGAAGCTGGGCAAGCTTGGAAAATCATTACTCCAGAACAGGATTAAGGATATCACTTAGACCTACAATGCAATGAGGGCTTCTCGTGGGCAGAGCGACCCCCAGCCTTATGTCTCTGAGTCTCTATCCTTAAGGAAGGTCTTAGCTTCAGGAGACAAAGAAACCCAGGCTCAGTAGGGGAGGTGACTTGCCCAAGCTATCTTGACCCACCTAGTTTTATTCTGAAGGCCACTCATGGAGGTCGCCCCAGGCCACATACCGTATTTTGTCACATATAGGTTCAGCCACGTACCGTATTTTGTCATGTAGAACGCACTCCCATGCATAATGTGCACCCACATTTTAGGGCTAGCCACGTATAATGCACATCCTTACTTTTCCCTCAGAAATGTGGGCAAAAAAGTGTGCGTTATATATGGCAAAATATGGTAGTAAGTGTCCGCAGACTTTAGAAAAGGACAGTTCAGGTATGGAGACAGGCTCAGATGGAATACGCCAGGCTCCCGACTTCCTCACAGTATTTCGCCTTTCTTATCCCAGTCTGTGAAATGGGCACAAGCTCTCCCAAGGGCAAAGATGAGAAGGGACAAGAAAACCGGGTTCCTGGCTCACTGCTGGCACACACCTACCTCCTCTGAGGGGTGGCAGCTAAGGCCACTTCCTCTCAAGACTACATGTAAACCTGGAGAGAGCTATAGGGTGTCCAGCAGTTCCTCGTGCTGGTGGGCCTATGGCGGGCAGTTTGAGGCAGCTTGGGCACAGTGAACCTCATGGGACAGTCCTACTTACAGTTTGGTCAAGTCTGCCGACAGTGGCCGTGCCTGGAATGCCTTCCTTCTGACCTCCGGCTTGGCCTCGGAGCTCTCGGTGGCCCAGCCTTTGATCCGCTCCTGGACGCTCACCCCTGTTTTCTGCAGCTCTGGACCAGCCGACGGGGACTCAGGGGTGGACAGTGGGGGCTCAGACCCCACTGTCATGGCCACGGCCACGGTGCTCTCCTCCCCAAAGAGGCTGAGGCGCTTCTTGACGCTGCCCCTGGAGACCCACTCTCCCCTAGTCCGGATTTCCCCATCGGATGGTCTGCTCTTGACCTCAGCCATTTCTTGGCCGTTCCCTGGCCTGGGCGAAGGGGACTGGGGAGCCCTCTCTGGCTCCCCCTCCGGCGTGGCTCTCCCCTCCCCAAGCCTCCGGTCCTCGGTGGAGCTGACCCTGGCTGAGCTCGCCTGCTTAGAAAGCATCTTGTCCTTCCGTTCTTGGAGCTTCTTGGCCACCTCCAGGAAGTCTGCATCGGGGTCCTGAAGGGGGGCCTCTGCTTTGCCCACACAAGCGCCCTCCTCTTTGGGCACCTGGTTGGACCGCTGGGGCCCCTGCTGCTGGCCGATGGGGCCCACGGTGGCCTCCTCAGCCACCTTCTTCAGCAAGATCTCTCTGCTCTCGAACCGGGCCGTGAGGTCCACGGACAGGGGCCTGGGCCTCCGCACCCACGTCTTCTCAGGAGGTGTGGGGGGCGCTTTCCCCACCGCGGCCGCTCCGCCTGGGCCTGGTTTCTGGGGCTGAACGGTCTCCATGAAAATGGCTGATACCGGCCTCCTCTTCGGGCGAGGAGGCCTGGGCCCCACGGCAGGGCCCCCCGTGCCCTCGACGCCGCCGGCCTTGGCGGGCGGCTCCTCTGGGCCTGCCTCCTCTCGCGTGGTGGCCAGCAGTGTGTCCTGGGACAGGGAGGCCGGGCTGGGCAGGGTCCCCCCAGGCTTTCGGGCGGGCAGGGTGGGCTTGGCAGCCACCTCGGGCCGTGAGCCGGAGGGGGACGCCTGGGACACACCTGCGCTGGCCTCCTGCGCCCCCTCCCCAGCCCGCCTGCCCAGCGTGGGGCCAGCTTCGGTGGTTTCAAAGAGGATCACGGAGCAGGGGCTGGACCGCAGGGAGGCGGCCTTGTGGAACAGGGATGAGCTTCTCCGCAGGCCCTCGCCGCCCCCCGCCTCCTGCCCCGCCAGGCTGGGCATCCCGGCACCCAGGGCCTTTGCTGCCACGTCCTGGGGGCACCCGCAGGAAGGAGCCGGCCTGGCTGGGCTGGGCTGCGAGGATGCGATGGGGGTCTTTGCATCCGGGGCCTTCTCCTTGAAGAAGGGCTTGGGGGCCAGTCTGGGCAGGGGGAGTAAGCGTGTGGGGCTCCGCAGGGGGCCTTTTCCCTCAGAGAGCCGGGCCAAGGTGGCCCCGGGGGCGTCCCCCGCCTGGCGGAAGTAGGTCCGAGTCAGGGTCTCCTCCTTGGCGATCTCACTGAGGCCCGGCACTCCTGTCAGGGTCGTTACGGAGCCGACCTCCACCCGCGTCGCCATGGCTATGGCTGCGGATCCATGGAGACACAGGACATCCGAAATGCAGAAGCCACTGTCGACACAAAACAGAGTCCGCTTAAAACTCAGCCCGCGTCTGGGTCGAGGCAGACCGGAGCTCCGAGTTCTGGTCAACAGCTCCCTGCTGACCTCACCGGGCAGGCCCGGGCCAGCCTCCCCACCTCTCTGGGCTGGGGGCGAGGGGGGTGGACCGAGTGGCTGCTTTTGAAGTTTCTTCCAGATCAAAGGGTGGGGGAAAGGCGCCAACATTCCCTAGGACTTGCCTGACGCAGCTCATCTCCAGGCCAGCTCTTGGGGTAAAAATGACTGACTCCACTGTACAGATACGGAAATCGGCTCAGACAGGCCCAGTGACCAGCCGAAGTCACTCAAAAAAGCAGTGAGGTCAGGCCTCCGACCCAGCCGGACCCCACACCCACGCTGCACGCTCCAGCATGAGCCCCAGTGACAGCACCCCCGGGTCCCCTCACTCCGGGCACCCAACTGCTTTCCCGCCGCAGGGCCTGCCTCCGGGCATCAGGTGTCCCAGCCGATCCTCGTCCCCACCCTGGGCTGCGTGCCAGCACACAGGGGGGGACTGTCCCAGCTCACACAGTCGCCTGAAGCTGGAATCCCTGAAGTCACAGAGTAGCTGAATGGCACTGAACCCAAGCCTCAGCCACCAACCCGACCTATCCTCCCCTCCCTGGCCCTTCCGGATGCCTTTAAAAAAAAAGCCATCTTGATTTTTCACTCACCTACACTGTTACTTGGGTTCTTTTCTAGGGAACGCCCGTTGCATGCTGGCTGCCTTCACTGTCTCAGTGTGAGTGACAGCTCATGGTGAGGGCGCACCAGGAATGAGGCCTCCAGGCTGGCCAAGGGCATCCTGTGTCTTGTACATCACGCCAGCCTCCAACCCGATGGGGGGGGGGCACAGTGATGGTCAGACCTCATTCTGACACCCGGGTGTAGCCCCTTGTCCACCCAGCTCTGTATGACCTGCTCTCTCATGTCTGGCGCCCTCCTGTCTCATTAACCCCCCAACAAGCCCATGAGGTGGGTAGTACCGGCAGCTCCATCACAGAGAAGAAGGGAAAGGGCTCAGAGAGGGCGTCCCATGTGCCTACATCACACAGCTGAAACTTGACCTCAAGTCTTCAACCCCTTCCGCTCTACCTTTTTTGAAATTGTGTTTTATTCCTTTTCTGGTCTTAAAAAGTACCCGACAAGTCATTATTCTTGATTCCTGCCCATTCCTGCCCCACCCCCTGGCCCCCTCCGTCATACCACTGTCCCGTTTCCCAAAAAACTGCCCCCCACCTGCCCCCTCCGGGTGGGTAAGCAATAGAAGGTGCTTCAGCTCAGGGCCGGCCTCCGCTTCCCGCCCTGGGGCCCCGCACTGCTGCCCCCGGCTCTGACTCACGCAGCAGCCTGCGGGAAAGGAAGGCAGACAGATTTTGATATTTTCTCTTCCTTACACGCTCGATGGTGCTAACAGATTCTTTCTCCTCAAGCCCGAGAACACTGTCTAGACATGTCAGAAGCGGAGGAGAGGGGCGGATATGGAGAACCAGGGAATCTGAGAGAGGGAGAACCCTACCTTCACGGACACGGGGGGGGCCCTGCCCCGAATCGGGACTGGTCGCCTTAACAGCCAGCCCAAGTGACCTGTGGAGACCCTGCTCCGGGACACATATGTAGCCCGAACATGACACGCAGGACAGTAACAGAGCTCAAAGGACAGAGAGAAAAGTCCCTGGCAGAGCCCACAGGCGCTCCCCCACCAACACTCCAGCCCCACTTACCTGAGCCTGCGGGCCCTGGCTGGGGATGTGTGACTGCCAGAGGAAGCCAACGGTGTCGCATCTCATCGCAACCGGGGCTGTCCCCACACTCCCATGGCAGAGGCTGGCGGGGGAGGGAAGCTCGTCCCTGCAGGCTCAGTTGCAGCAGGTCTGAGGAGACACAGGATGACAGCCTCAGCCCCGCGTCCCGGCGATATGCGCGCAGACGGTGCCAAGGCGCTGGCGTCTCCTGCAGCCTGGCCGACTCACGCTCCCTTCGGCTCTCCAGCATTGCGGGCTCAGGCACAGGTGCACAGGGAGTGCGGGGCCGCAGCAGGGGCTCCACAAAAACCTCCCCTGTTCCTCTGCTTCATGTTTACTGAGCACCTACTACGTGCACAGAGGCAAACAAGAAACGTCCCCTGTATTTGGGGAACTCCCTGTCTTACGTGAGAAGCACACACATGCAAACAATCCTAACACTGGGCAGTAAACACCACGGCTCACAAAGGGGTACATGGGGGCACATGGCTGGGAGGGTTCACTGCCTAGAACTGGGAGTGGTGGTCCCGGAAGGCTTGCTTGGCTTAGAGGAGGTGACTCCGGAGCACTCAGGTGCTGGCTGATTTGGGAGCCTGCTCCCCTGCTCAGCGGTGCTTGTACACTGCATCTCTTGAAGGCCCTCGGATGCCTCCCCAGGGCCTTTGCACATGCCATGCCTGCTCTCTTAGATGCCTCTCTTGCTCAGACACAGGCCCACCCCGAGGTCACAGCTCAGACCACTGACCCCCTCCAGCCTAGTACAGTCTCCCTCTTACCTGCCCACGGAGCCCCCAGGATATGTGGCAGCCTCTTCACAGCTACGGTTACATTTAATAGCGCATGATGCTTCACACCAGCCCTTCCCACTCCACGCTAAGCCCCCGGAGGGCCCTCCCGTGTCCTAGTAGTCAGCACAGTGGCCTGGCCTATAATAGCACCGCCTACGTAATTACTGAGCAAATGCATAAATGAATGAAGAAATACTCTCCTGGCCCCTCTCCCCACCCTCCCAAGATGCTGCATGAGTACAGATGTCAGGAGTCTCGGCACACACAACACTCTGGGACACCAGATGAGTTTCTCTGGCTCTGGCACGTCTCGGGGTGGCCACAGGCCAAGTGCTACAGGATGACAGGACCAGAGAGCTGTGCAGAGTCTGGCTGAGCACCCGACTGCAGTGGGAGGCCCCGCCGGTCTCGCTGGGCCATGGGGAAGAGCCCCGGTGTCGTGGACGGGCCGCTGTCAGACGCCTGCAGTGCCCCTGTGAACCCCCCACTGGCAGCCCAGCTCATCTGCCCAGATGCGGAAGGGCTGCCTCTCTGGAGGGCCTTTCCTGGGAATGGAGTCACCACAAGTGACCACTGCTGACCCAGGGTCAGGGGCACCCAAACGTCACCCGACTCTGGGCTTGCCGAAGCCGTCCCAGCAGCCACACCGCAGGGAAGGGAAAAGGAAAGGCGAGAGAAGTCAGCCCCTCGGTCCGCACCCCTCACAGCCAGAGAGGCGTCTCTGTGACCTGTAATCGGCTCAGCATTTTCGGGCTTCCTCTCAAGTTCCCATTTGAAATGCCTGGTACGTAAATATGGTTGCACGAACGAATCCATGAATCAGTTCATAAGACGATGAACGAAGGGGGGAAGTTTTTAAACCGCCAGAGTACATATGGCTAAACAATATTCTGAAGGCGTTCCCAAATCTAGAGGGACCCAGGATTTTCAGGTGTTCACTCAGCCCGTTATAAAATACAAAGGCGCTTATCGAAGTAGATGCTTTAAACCCTCCTCTCAATGCGTCACGCATGTTCTGCTTAATTTAAGAAATGGTGGTCTCGTCCAAAGCATTTCAGAAGCCCACACAGTGGCAAGATGCTATGCATTCCTGGAGTGGTCCTCACTTGCTCTTTTTAAATTTTTTTATTTATTTTAAAGAGAGAGAGAGAGGGGTGAGGGGTGAGGGAGGGGGAGAGACATCGATCTGTTGTTCTGTTTATTGATAGATTCATTGGAATGCCCGTCTGTCTGTCTGTCTCTCACATGCACTCACATACTCGATTCTGGTATGTGCCCTGACCGGGGGATTGAACCGGCAACCTTGGTGTATCAGGATGCTGCTCGAACCAACTGAGCTACCTGGGCAGGTCCTCGCTTGCTCTTTTAAAAATTATTAGTGCTATGGCTAAAGCCAGGTAAACAAGAGCTCCCTGGAGAACGCTGGGACACCGAGTGTGAGCCACCTCTCTCTGGTCATCATGCACGTCGCCCTGGGACGCAGGCGACAGTCATGCCAGCCCGACCTCCAGCACCTCAAGCAGGAGATGGCGATGGGTCTGTCTCTGCTTTTTGCTAAACCTGCCAGGTCCACGGGCTTGATTTTGCTAAACTGATTTGCAAAATTTAAAATTCCATTTCCTGCAATTTCATGCACAGAAAGTCCCATTTTTCCTGGGAACTGAGTCACCAAGACCAATGGTGGCTGAAATGGGGCGCCATTCGAAACGAAGGCACTCACTCGTCCAACCATTGGAACTTCCTTCCACACACCAGGCCCCTGGCTGGGTGCCGGGGGTGCAGCGTGGAGCTCCAGGTCTCCCAGAAATCCGAGAGGAGCACACAGGGCCGGAGAAGCGCTTCCATTCAGAACCGAACAGCGTGGCAGCGTTTCGCTCCGATTCGGAGGCGTTGATTCGTTCTAACAGCTGTTGCCAGTTCTTCATGCTCACACCCTTCCATCCGATCTGGGAGCTTGCTCAGCCGTCTCTGGGCGCTGTTTCCTGGGAGTGCCACCATCTGCTGAGGGGCACGAGCCAGTCCTGACACCTTCCAGCGTCTTCCGGGATGTGACCTGGGCTCCTAAGTCTGCAAATCTGCGTGGCGCACCTGGCAGAGGGCCACGCGTGTGCCCGTGTCCTCCCAGAAGAGCCGGGCTGCGGGAAATGTGTGTGGCTGGTCCACCCACGGGCCCCAGATGGAAAGTGCCTCACGTTGCTGGAATGCAGGCTTCCTCTCCTCCATCCCCACGGCTGCATCCTTAGCTCATTCATCCCCAGTGCAATGATTGAGCACCCACTAGGTACCAGGCTCTGGGCCAGGTGCTGGGGACAAGGCCTGCTCCCGTGGAGCTGACGGTCAAGAAGTGGGGAACAGACAATGAACTTACACAAGCAAGATGGATGTTTGGATGAATAAGCACACAGAACGTTACCTGAGGGACAGTGAAGGAGTGGCCAGGGAAAACTTCCCTGAGAAGAAGGGACACTTAAGACCCGCCTCCTCACTGACACCCCTGTCTCTGCTGAGCCTCCTCCAATCTACTCTCCTGGCAGCGGCCAGAGAGGTTCTCTGGCAGGCGAGCACCACCACTTCGCTGCCCTGCGCAAAGCCCACGCAGCCTCCCCGCCGACTTCTGAATACAGACTGAATGTTTTCTTTGAGGCCCAGCAGGGTCTGGCTCCTCTTCAGTCCACCAGCTCCAGTCTAATGATTGACACCTCCCCATCCGTCTGTCTGTCTGTCTCTCACATGCACTCACATACTTACAATGAACCCCAGACAGGTCACAAGACATGCTGTGTTTTCCTTCATCTTCAAGCCTCTACACTGTCATTTGCTACTACCCGGCTGATCTCTAGCCATCCCTCAGTTCTCAGCTCCAAGCTGCCACCGCCTCCAGGAAGTCCTCCCTGATGCCCCACGTGGGTTCGGGTGCCTCCAGGGTGCCCTGGTATCTTACTCCCAGTGCTTCTCTCTAGCCCAGGTGATCGTGCGCCTGGTAACCACCTCTGTTTCCTCCGCTAGACCAGGGAGCTCCTGGCCAGAAGGCACCTGGGTTCAGTTCACAGTTGCATTCCCAGGATCTGACCATCATACTGGACACAAAGCCAGTGTGCAAAAAAAAAAAAAAAAAATCTTGAAGAGAGAGCATCCCCGAGAGAAGAAAAACAATAGTATCCAATGCAGGCCGGGTGTAGAGAAACTAAATGCTCACCTGCTCCCAGGGCCAATGTAAGTTAGAGAAGCAATTTTGGCAATATTCACTTCCCACTAACATTTTTTTGAAACTCCATCAAGAGGCAGGCATCAAATCAAGTGACCCTGGGTTCTTTCTGCCTTCTCCCATTTAATATTCTCAACAACCTTGTGCTTTTCAAATTATTACCATGCTACAGAGAAGAATGCAGTTCAGAACACAAGCCAGGTCCCACGCTAGTGAAAGTCGAGCTAGGCTCCGACACTCCGACTACCAATCAGCTGTTTTTCCCAACAGACCCCCACCCTGAAAACACACATCGCTTTTTGACTCGGCAGTCCCACTTCTAAAACCTTATCCCACAGAGGCGTCGTCTAAAGGCAGAGAAAGCCACGCACCCAAAGACACCCGTGGTGGCGTTATCTACCCAAGTACAGAATGTCACGGGGCTCAGGGTGATAACCCTTATCTGTAAAAACTCAGGGCTACTGCAGCGTCACAGAAGTAGCAGTGCTGGCAGACAGACAGACAGACCTCCGGTTCCCGGTCCTCCCAGAACATCACAAATGACTCAAAGTCCAGTCACACCACACACACTGGACTTTGGGATCAGGAAAGATGGTCGCCAGGGCTGTGAGAGCAAAAACTTAGCAGTGATGGACACCCAGTGCAAAAGGTGACGGTGTCTCAGCTTTCTAGTGTAAGGGGCTTATCCTGCAGCCCTGGAAGGGGAGGGGTCGGGTGGGAGGTCCGTGCCATCCAATTTGGGGAAAGCACTTGGGCGAAGGTGATAATCCCCTTGGGCGAAGGTGACGGAAGGGACACCTGCTCCTAGTGGAGGCTGTGACAATAGCTAAGACTGTTTGGGGTCAAGGTCTGGAAGAGAAAGACAAATGAAAGAAAAAAGGGTCGGGGACCTGGGTAGAAGGGCTGGTAAATTTTTTAAAATTCCTTTTCTTTTATTTCCATTCCACCAATGCTGTTTATGCAAATAGATTCCTTTTTCAGCCCCCACCCCCAACAGAGGCTTCCCTCTGCACTGTGCTCTCCCCAACAATTCCAAATAAAGAGCTTCTATGGCTCTCTCCCGCCCATTATCAGAACTTCTGGAAGCTAAAAATCAAAATAACTATTATTTACTAAACTCTGCCAACAAGTGATTT